TACTAGTTGAGTTGTTCAATGTGTTTTTCCAACCAGTCATATCCAGCCTTTCTTGAAGTATAAATGAAAGTAAAATATGTCCAAGACGTGCCGTGGCCTGGAGCACTGCATCACAGCGGTGCTCGACTAGGCCTCCACGGGTGACCTGCTGACCATCGTGCTCGATGTATAGCACCGATGAGCGTGTCCAGAACGTCGACACCGTGCTCCGCTTAACACCACCTTGGAGAGCGAGTCGGCGTCAGCGGGCGGCCAGAATGGCTAGAGCCGGAGGACGTCCGTGTGTGGAGCTGGGGTGCTGCAGGGCTGTGGCGCGATGCAGACTATAGCAGAAATCGTGGACGAGGTCGCGGCGGAGGAGTCACTGCCGATCTCCAATTTATTGGGCTCACCGGTGGGGTGTTGAAGGAGGCGCGTGCAACGTGGGTCCCACTACAACTTTCTTTATTCTAATAACTGGACAATCACTGACATATGGGTCCCATGGTCCCATGGTTTTTTTTTACTTTAAGTACCACGTAGGCGCGCCATCTCAGTGAAACCACCATTCAAACTAGGACCTTATTTGCACTGGTTTTTAGAGTTTATTGTGGTTTAGAGATGGATTTCAAACTCGACGACAAATTGAGAGACCTAAAGTGCACATAAATAGGGAATGAATACAGTCCACACACTTCTCATTGATGGTTTCAGCCTATCACTGAATTTGTCCCAGTAATTTTCCATCAAATAATTCAACCTATTAGAGAATTCGGCATACTGCTACTTCTCTCCAATGAATTCGGTGCATGCATGAACTCAACCCACCTCTTTCACATCAGCGAATTCGGCTCATCTAAGGACACGACTACACGAGTGAAGTAGGGTTGAATGAGAGAATCGTCAAAAATCAGGCTACAAGTTCTCAAAAAAGGAAATCAGGCTACATAAGATTTGAGTATTCTTTTGGGATTAGGCAACTGTGTAGCATGTCTCAAATGTTTAGGAATTGGAATTGTGTTGAACCTAGGCTCAAGAGAATATTGTTTGTAGGCATAGCTGCATTTCTTTGGGCAATTTGGTTATATAGGAACAATGTGGTCTTTAATGGCTCCAGTCTTACATCTTTCTTGCTGGTCATTTTCATGGGAACGCATTGGGCAAGGACTTGGTCTTTGCTTCTTAAGGGAGTCGGTGAAGAAACAATTAAGAGCTATTGCAAACTGCTAGAGAAGCGTGTGTTGGAGTTCTTCTCCGTGTATGGCTGGAACCTTGGAACAAAATTGGAAGCCTGGTCTTTTTCTTCTTTTGTTGTTCTTAAAACCTTTGTGCTATCATCTCTCATGTAATGGGAGAGGTTAGTTGCTGTAGTTTGTACCTTTTTTTATGGAGAGTCTTAGGGGGTGTTTGGATCTAGGGACTAAACTTTAGTCCCTATCACATCGAATGTTTGGGCACTAATTTAGAGTATTAAACATAGACTACTTACAAAACTAGTTGCATAAATGAGAGCTAATCTGTGAGACAAATTTTTAAGCCTAGTTAATCCATAATTAGCACATGTTTACTACAGCATCACATAGGCTAATCATGGATTAATTAGGTTCAATAGATTCGTCTCGCGAATTAGTCTAGGGATATGGAATGGGTTTTGTCATTAGTCTACGTTTAATACTTCTAATTAGTGTCCAAACATCCGATGTGATAGGGGCGCTAAAACTTTTTAGCCCCATCCAAACCCCACTTATGTACTCGTGTTCGAATATTTGGCTATGTACACCCCACAAAGGTGTAGAGGCTGGATTTGATAATCCTTTATCTAAAAAAAAGATTTGAGTATTCTTTTGGCCCAAAGAAGAACGGACTGAGGAATTGGCGATAGTTGAGATCATCTTTTTCATTAACTAATCCCATCATCGACAATAAAGTTTGTCATTATGGATTCCTTCCCGCCGGCATTTCTTCGTTGGGCATGTTCGGTCCATTGTTACAATCTTAACTATCAATAACTCATTGCTAATGATGCGTCTCTATTGTTTGTGGTGAAGAAAGTGACAACTTAGTCAGTGCCACCATTGACGTCAAGGCCGATTGTCAAACACTTGATATGTGACCTTGGACTGATCAGGGTTGTCAATATAGGTGGTACCGATCATGTCCTCAGCAGCTAACAACTTCATCGGGCTCAACATCAGAGCAAGAGCAATTCATCAGACATTTGGCGAGCATCACCTTGGATTGCTCATTCTCAACTGAAAATTTCAAGTCTTTGGCCTTCTTCTGGACTCTAGCATCTATGATTCTATTGCCGCCTTGAGATAGAATAGAACATCTCTCTTTCTTTGATATGTCTCCACTTGCCTCTGCTCGGACTCCATCCACCTGAAAAGTAAATCCATATCCTCACTTTGCCATAGTAGCTTGCTTGGCGAACTCGGTAGGGATTGGTGTCTCTCTACTAGTTTGTTTGGGATATCTTCTCTCAGCTTAAATATCAGTAACCTTTTTCAATACAAATCACAAGCACAATCGAATGGTTGAAGTGAAATTCAAGAGCAATAAGAAGAAAGGAGATACAACTCTAAAAGGTTCTACTCCTACAAACTAAGAAAAGGATTGAAGGCGGGAGGAGAGGTAGGAAAGGAGATAACGAATGTTCCTGGCTAGGACTAGCATGCCACTATCGTTTGCCAAGTTACCTTAACCAAGCTATTGCTGCCTATTCTCTTCTGTTTCGATGCCTCCTAAACTTGTTGTTGCTGCTGCAAATATATAGATGTATTGCTCTCCTTGTGCTTGCTTAGGCTTGTTTAGAAACATCACAATCCCAAACACGTGTGCGGCCCAATCAAGTTTCTAACACGTTACTGCGCTCGTTGGTGAAATTAAATACGAAGACTCATTAGTCTGCATTGGGTAGTCTTTTTTTTAGATAATTCATTCTATGCCATTGACAAGGCATGGATTTTACAATGTACCACTGACAAAGCTCAGTTCTATAATATACCATCGAACAAATAGTTTTCTTCCTTACATGCCATCACCGCTAGTGAATAGTTAGTCAAATTCCGTTAAGAGGAAGAAAACATCCATTTTGCCCCTAGGGTATCATGCGCACTCATGGATTTCATTGGTTACAACCCACTATTTCTTCTCACTGATGAAAAATAAAAATCACTTGTCTTTTTATCATCCAAGATTATTTAATGAGACATGGCATTGTGCAAAATCTCAATTTTATCCTAGGGGGGTAAAATTGACATTTTTCCTCCCTTAATGGCGTATGACTAACAATTTACTAATGCTGATGGCATATAAGGAAAAAAATGAGTTGTTCGAAGATATATTGTAGAACTGAGCTTTATCAATGACATATTGTAGAACCCGCGCCGTGCTTTGTCGATGGCATAGAATGGATTGACTCTTTCTTTTCTTTTCTTTTTTCATAAAATAATATTGTGATTTATATTATTGTTTAATATATAACCAAACATGAAAGAAAAAGATTAGAGTTGTAATTCTTTTAGTATTAAATATAGTAAAATGCACCAGCGGTCCTTAAACTTGTTAGAAGGTTTCACTTAGGTCCATGAACTTGCAAAGCGCACATCGAGGTCCCTAAATTTAGTTTATTGTATCATCCCGGTCCAAAGCCGCGCACGCCACGTGGACGATGACATGGAATTTTTTTTATTTTTCTCTCCCTTCTTCCTTCTTTTTTTCTCTTTCTTCCTACTTTTTTTTCCGGTTGAGATCCTAAGAAGGTGGGGAGAGGCGGCGCCCGACCGGCGCGAGGAGGCCATGGCCGGGGTCGGCGACCTAGCGGCAGCGCAAGAGAGAGGCAGCGGTGAGAGAGGAGCTGACGGCTGTGGAGAGGAGAGGAAAGCTCGCGACGGCGTCGTCGTCTTGGCTCGGGCGGAAACGGGCGGCGGCAATGGAAGGGAGAGGCCGGCATGGGGGAGCTCGGGGTGGCGATGAGAGAGGAGCTGGTGGCTGTGGAGAGGAGAAGAAAGCTCGGCGGCGGCGTCGTCTCGGCTCGGGCGGAAACGGGAGGCGGCGATGGAAGGGAAAGGCCGGCACGGGGGAGCTCGGGACAGCGGCCGTGGCGCGGGCGGTCGCATGCGAGGCGGCCGGCTCGCGACGACGTGGCCAACGCGACAGCGGTGTGTCGGCGCGGTCGTCCTCCTCCCCCAGTCGCCGTCGTCCCCCTCCCTCCCGTCAGCGCCGCCGTCCTCCTCCCTGAGTCACCGCCGTCCCCCTCCCTCCCGTCAGCGCCGCTGTCTCCCTCCCGTCGCGCGCTCGCCTCCGGCACGGTGGCTCGGCGAAACCGCGGCAGTGGCGGCGCCCATGGTGTGCGGTGGTTCGGCATCGCCGCCGCTGTCCTCCTCCCATCAACACCGCCCCCGCGCGCTCGCCGCTGCCGCAAGCTCGCCTCCGACCCCGGCCATGGCCTCCTCACGTCGGCTTCCCCGCCTCCGCCGCGCCGGTCAGCCGGCGCCTTGCCAAGCACCACCGTGACAGCCCATCCCCTCGTGCCGCCTCTCACCATCGAGAAAAAAGAAGGAAGAAAGAGAAAAAAGAAGGAAGAAGGGAGAAAAAAATAAAAAAATTTCATGTCATCGTGCACGTGGCGTGCCACGTAGGCAAAAGCACGGTCTACGCGGCTTTGGACCTAGATGATACAATAAACCAAGTTTAGATATCTCGATGTGCGCTTTGCAAGTTCGTGGACCTAAGTGAAACCTCCTGACAAGTTTAAGAACCGCCGGTGTATTTTACTCTATTAAATAATATATAATCAAACAAAAAAATGGACTATAATCTCTCTTGACACATGGACCCGTAAGCTGGTAGCCCATACCGGTCTTTATACTCCTATACACGACGGACCTAATTATTTATCTTTTTTTGTGAAACCATGAAACAGCTCAGCTCAAAATATTAAGAAAAAAAATGAATTCACGAAAATGTCATTGGTTTAGACCAAAAAAATGTCCAATACCATGGACCGCCTAGCAAACATCGAGGGCGAGGCGCAGCAAGAAACAAGAAATTCCCAAACACAAACAAGCCAAGCCAGAGAGGGAGAGGTAGCTGGAGGAGAGCTGCTCGGCGAGGGCGAGGATGGCGATGGGCGACGCGAAGCCCTCGGCGGTGCACATCCCGATGCCCGCGCGCGACCGCGACCGCGACCGGGACCGCGAGCTGCTGCTCGTCCCGCCCGCCGCCGTCGCCACCTCCGCCTCCGCCTCCGCCTCGGCCGCGGGCCGCGACTCCGACTCCGACGACGAGTCCAAGCCTTCCTCCGCCTCCGCCGCCGCCGCCGCCGCGCAGACCGGCCGTGAGGTCCGGCACCCTTTCCTCCACGGAATCTTTTTTTTTTTTGTAGCATCGAGCCAGATTTGATCTGGAGGGCGTGGCGAAGCTGTAATGCGTGTTTCGAAATGTGACGCCTTTTCTTTGTGGTTTTGTTGATTTTCAGGCGTTTCACAAGGTTGTGCATAGCTGGGCGTCCAAGAAGTTCATGACCGGATGGTACGTCGCCTGTTTTTGTGCTCCTCGATTTTGGAGGATTTTTGCTTTCGTGGTTCAGAATTTGGATCCGAAATTGGACCGGTGGATTACCACGGGAGTTTCGTGGCGTCGGAAAAATTTTCTCTTTAAGCTTAGATGTCTAAGTTTTGGGACACAAAACGAACAAGCTTCAAACTTGTGGGCATGTTGGTTTTGCTGTTAGATTGGGATCCGCAGAATTGAGTCTGGATGCATGCCTTACTCGTGTTCAGTTTGGTGATGATGTTGCTATTTTACTTATAGTGTATAATGCCAATGGTGTTGCCGTCTTGATTAGAGCATTGGGAGTTGGGGTCTCAATTATGCCAATTGAGACTGTAGCTCAACCGCAAAAGTTTTGACAGCCAGCATTGCGAAATTTGCACCGTGGTGACACACATGTTTTTCTTGCTGACAGCAGTTGATACTTTGATAGTGATGTTAGGAGTTAGGACCTTGGAAAAACTTTACAGAATTTCATTTAGAATTTCATTTTCCCACTTTAAATTTAATTGTAATATTTTACCTTGTCTTAATTCAAGCATATCTTGGTGTTCAGACCCCTTGAACCTGATTGCCCTTATGTGCTGTTCACTGTACTAGTTGAGCTGCTCAATGTGTTTCCCAACCAGTCATATCCATCCTTTCTTGAAGTATAAATGAAAGTAAAATATACGCTAGTTCTTTCTGAATTTTTTGGTTTTGCAAGAATGACAGAAACTGAATTGATACCATTATGGTGCACAGTCGCATTTCTCCAGTCAGATGATCTGATAGATGCAGATTATAAATGAACATGATGAAATGGATTGGATGTTTATCATAAATGATTGCAGATCTCAATCTGATAAGAGGGACTTTAGTCTATCCTTTCATGAACTTGGTCTATTTGGAGAGAAAAGGAGTCAAATAAGTTAAAGATTGAATTTAATTAATCCATGAAGTCTTCACTTCATTTCCTAATCTCATGCAATTTATCCCATAAATTCAATTTTTTTTCTTTATATTTGTTGAAATATCTCTCTCATAAGGGATGTATCACGGACTCAATATAAAAATAGCATGAATAGAATTGCCTATCATAATAATTGGTCTTTTGGCTACAGAAAGGAAAACAACAGTTCAATCGTAGTGCCAGACTGCCAGCATGGAATCTAAGTTTCTATTTGGTTGTTTGCAATTATAGCATGGATACTTTCTTCGTTTCTTTTATTTCTACTATGCTTTGGTAAAATATCTCTGGGGGCATGAGAATCTAAGTGAAATAATTTTAAAAGCAGTAAATAGTGTACTATTTTAGCTATTATTTGCCATATTGCAAATGTTATTGCAGTTTTGTGTACTTAAATAAAAACTTAATACTAACATTGGAGATTTCATTGTAAAGTTTTTCCTGTATTTCTCATTTGCTAATGGGATTTTCTCCCTTCTGTTTCAGTGTAATCCTCTTTCCAATTGCAGTTACATTCTATATCACATGGTGGTTCTTTCGCTTTGTGGATGGGTTTTTCTCCCCAATATATGCTCATCTTGGAATCAATATATTTGGTATGCACAGTACTTGAACTATTGTATGATTGTCAGTCCAGATTACTACTTAGTTGATCAAGAGAATTATAATCCTATTAGAAATATGTTTTTCTTTTTAGTATTGGAGAACTACTCTTGTTTACTTTATTCCTTACCAACTCCAGCAATATTTGCTTTCATTTGTAGTTTGTAGGTTCTTCCAAGTCACTGGACTTTTCTTTTGAGTTATCACAAATACATATGTACCATAAATTTGTGTATGCACCAAAATATCATTAGCATATAGGCTACTATTGCCATTACGCTTAAGACCTTTATTCACATTATCACGTATATTCGCATAATGCCTGTCCCATCTAATTAGTCATTACTTCTTTCCTCTGTCTGACTGTCTGTATTTTGCTTTACACAGATGATATTAGTAGACATCACTCCTTAGCTTTTATCTTGTGTTGATAGTCTTATGTTGTTTTTTGAACAGCTAATTGTCCTATGATTGCTATGTGTCTATGACATTCAAATTATAATTTAGATGAGCTATAAAGCTTCATTTTTTTTTTGTTTATTCCCATATACTTAATTGGATATGTTGTTCTTTCTTCATTACTGTTCTCAACTTAATTCCATACATTTATGTTTACCTCATACTCCCTCCGTCCCACAAAGGAGGTCGTTCTGCTCACAAGCAAATGTCCCATATTTGTTGACGCTGCACTTCCCCAACAGCACACAGTTACAGACTCCTAGAAAAGCATCCATAAAGAAAGTGAAAAGTTTTGAATTGATTGGACTGGTTGCATTAGTTTAATCCATAAAGTAGCATATGTGGCAGTGTACTAGAACTACTCAAGCCATGAAATAGCAGATGTGGCAGTGTACTAGTACTACTCAAGCATCCACATGATTAGCTCTAATCTCATAAATTAGGGGCAAAATGGCCATTTTCAGTCACAACTAATTTGGCTCAACCATCCTTGAACGTCCAGCATTCTGGGACAGAGGAAGTATTTTGTGATGCAATTGCTTCTTGTTCTTAAAGAATCAGGCGGACCTTTCAATGCTATTTATGCACAAACCCACACCCTCTTCTTTTGTTAAAAAAAAAAAGTTCTGCCCTTAAAATTAGATGTAGGTTTGACTGAAGCTTTTCCTCAAACTTGCTTTCCAACCTCTGTACTCTTATGAAATAAAGAGTATATAACTAGATATCATAGCAAAATTTTCAAAGATCATAACCTACTTATTGTGCATCGTCTGCCAACTTTGTTCATAGGTTGTTCTGGGTACCCACTCTTCTGTAGTTGTGTGTGCCTTCTTTCTACTGTGGTTTCTCATGGTTTATAATGGATTTCCACTCGATTCTGAAGTTGACGATTTTCACACTATTTGCAGGACTTGGTTTTGTAACTTCAATATCATTCATTTTTGTGGTTGGTGTGTTCATGTCATCTTGGCTGGGGGCATCTATTCTCGGTCTGGGAGAGTGGTTTATAAAGAGAATGCCATTTGTTCGCCATATTTACAATGCATCCAAGCAGATCAGTGCTGCCATTTCACCTGGTTATATTCTCCACCTTAATGTGATTCCATAAACCACAATTTAATTGTCAATCGCTAATTTGGTTTTTCATGCAGATCAGAACAAACATGCATTCAAGGAAGTGGTCATTATAAGGCATCCCAGAATTGGCGAATATGCATTTGGATTCATCACTTCGGAAGTTCTACTTCAGGTTTGAGTGGTGCTAGCTATTATAATTCAATTGTTCTCTCTTCATTTCCTAGTATCATAGTTATTGTTCATGCATTATATTTGTGTGTGTTATCACTGTATTGAGATTGTTTCACCAAGTTTTGGTGATCTGTTTACATTTTGTTTAAAGTAGCTGCCACTGATAACATCATGGACCCTTTTGCCAGTCATCGAACTTTGCACAAACAGACGAAAGCAACTAACAAAATTGGCTAACAAATTATGAGATATGCATGCATGCAGCTAATCAACTGAAGTGATAGTGGTCCAACATAATGATTGAGCACGTGCTACTGTAACTAGCGGTTTAGTGATTCTATGCATGGTGGATAGCTGTGTGATGTTCACACCTGACAGCAGGAGGTTTGACTTCTATTTAGGCATGACTTAAGTATCAGTGATGGTTTTGAGGGTGCCCTGTGGTAATTAGTGCAGTAGTAGCACAGTAGCACCTGGTTTTTTGAAATAGCAGAAACAGGTATGAATATAGAAGGGGAAGAGGTTGTTAGTGAAAGTGGAAGAACATAATGAAGATATGGTAATTGCAGGATAGTTAATCTTGCTAATTATAATGGAAATTATTGGTGCAGGGTGTTTATTTCTATTTTTTCCTAAAACAAGTGACCTTTCCCAATCTTGATATTAACATCCCATGCTGAGTGCCAATGTTTTAAATTTCGGATTGGCCTAGGAAAAGCACTTAGGGTGCGTTCGTTTCCTTGTGTTGGGAATTCATTCCCTCCGCATGGATAATGGAGCGACTCATTAGCACATAATTAATTAAGTATTAATTTTTTTGAAAAATGGATTAATATGATTGTTTTAAAACAACTTTTGTATAGAAAATTTTTGCAAAACACACCGTTTAGTAGTTTGAAAAGCGTGCGCGCGGAAAACGATGGAGATGAGTTGGGAAAGTTGGGGGAAGAACACAGGGTGTGTTTAGTTCACGTCAAAATTGGAAGTTTGGTTGAAATTGGAACGATGTGATGGAAAAGTTGGAAGTTTATGTGTAGGAAAGTTTTGATGTGATGGAAAAGTTGGTAGTTTGAAGAAAAAGTTTGGAACTAAACAAAGCCACGGTACACAGCCTTAGAAATAGACAGGTGCCTGGCCAGTTCTCCATACATTTTTTCTCATACCAGTATTATAAGTAACTTTACAAACTAAAAAAAAATGTGATACTCATTCTGAGCTAAACTGTTAATCTGTGAACGAGTTAACTGCTAGTCAATTTATTTGCTGAAACAATTTATCTGTGAATGAGTTAAAATTTATTTGTTTTGTTGTCCAAATATGTGGAGCTTCCTTAGTTGTTAGCACAGGCAGTGCAGCTGCATTAGTTGATATGTTGCATTTGAATATTTTTCATGGATGTTCATGTGCTCTTCTATGTATTAGGGTTTTGCACTAGCATTTCTTAGTTGCATACTTTTGGCTAACTAACCGTCTGGACAAAATATTGATACGCGTTTACTTCCTTACGCCAGGATTATTCCAGTGAGGAACAAATGTACTGTGTATATGTACCAACCAACCATCTCTACATTGGGGACATATTTCTGGTCAACTCAAGTGATGTGATTAGACCAAACTTATCTGTTCGTGAAGGCATCGGTATGCGCATCTTCTATTTCTAAGCTAAATGAATTTTCATCCCTTCAACTTTGAATAGCTTTGGTAATTGCCTTGTTTCGTGGTGTTGCAGAGATTGTCGTTTCAGGAGGCATGTCAATGCCTCAAGTTCTATCCATAGTGGAAACGGAGCAGAACCAATGGAGCAGGATGAGATCTAGTCGAAGCTAAGATAACCCTCCTACGTGTGCCCAGATTTCGCTTGTAATCCCGTGTTTACTGGTTTCTGTAAGTACAAGGGTAGGATCCAATAGTAGAATGTACAGTTCTCCTGGCTGGGAATGCAAAATCACGCTGTGCACGCACTTAAGCTGTCACTCCATTCAAATGCGCGCGTGTGAACTTCGTTCCTTAGGTTGGAGCTTCATGAGGTAGAGTTTGTCCTGACGGTTTAGATGACACAGTTTATTCGCTTCATTTATTTGGTTAAGAGGGAGTTCTAGTTCTGATTGTCTGAAAAATCTTTTCCAGTTGCCACTGGCTTACTAATGACATGGTTAAGTGCATGTGTTTGTGTATGACAGTACGAGATTTGTGGCCTGAATGTTGTACGCATGAACGAAATGACTACCTATGACCAACGTGCATTTGACTTGAAAGCTTAATATATGTTGGTTAATATTGTTCCAGTCAAGTTCTTCGACATGGTTGTTAGGTGGGGTTAATTGGTTATCTGTTCGCAGCCTTGCATGTCTATAGTTTGTTTGCGGACTTGTTGGTAATCAAGACTTCCAGAGCTTGTGTATTGCCTATGATTAGGTATGGTAGTGTAATATAAAAAAGAATATGTTTCAGTCATGCAACTGCTCTCTCGTTGAAGAATAATGATATTCTTTTTTCCTTAGATTCCACGGATGGGCACATTCAGTGTGACGTGTATTGATGTTACTCCTGCTCAGGAAGAAGCTAAGGGTGTGTTTAGTTCCACGCCAAATTTAGAAGTTTGATTAAAATTGAAAGTTTAAAGAAAAAAGTTAGAAGTTTACGTGTATAAGAAAGTTTCGATGTGATGAAAAAGTTTGAAGTTTGAAGAAAAAATTGGGAACTAAACCTGGCCTAAGAAATAAAATGCAATTAGTAGTGTCACATGCATACTCCATCCGTCTTAAAGAAAACGAATGTAGGACTTTAATGCAACGAATCTTAAAAAAAACGAATGTAGACTTTAATGCAACGAATCTAGACAGCGACATATTTAGAATCATTATATTAGGATGTGTTATATCCAGTACGAGGTTGATTTTTTATGGGATGGAGGTAGTATAGTACGGATTTTCAATTCAGAGTTGTTTGGGTGCGACATGTTTATCCAGACGGAGTACTCCCTCCATCTCATAAAAAATGAATCTAGGATCGGATGTGACATATTCTAGTACTATGAATTTGGACATGTCACAGCCGATACTAGATTAGTTTTTTTTTAACAGAGGGAGTACGTAGCAACCATATAATTTACAATATACCTTATCCAATACCAGGTAAGATAGTATAGAAACAAATCAGCAGCTTCACTCTAAACAAACAGCAATATATGCAGGTTGGAAGGCAGCCTGATTATCTTTATATACATCCATATTAAAGAGCACCGTGTACTGTTGATTTTTAGATAATTGATTAAACCGGTCTCTACATCCAAAAAGATGTACACAGCCCCAACAAAACTTATAGGAGTACATAGACTCACTCTCTTACAAAAGGTTTAACAACATGTCAAGCAACTAGGCTCTAGCAATAACAATTCTTAAAAAGTTAATACGAGTTTCAACCGAACCACACAACAAAACAAGAGAGTATTATTCTCCCAATCATTTTCTAAGTTTGACCCCTTCATTGCGAAAAGCCAGAAACTCTCTTCTCCAACATCAAGCAATATTCTCTCATTTTTTGGCTATCTTCCTCCTTAAGTAGCAAAGACTATTGCCTTGTCCAAAAAGTCCCCTTGAAAATCACCTGTAACAAAAAAAATTAGTATTGGAGCTATTAAAGACTGTATCATTCTGGCATAGCCAAACCACCCAACACAAAGCTGCGATCCCCACAAGGATTTGAGCTCTTAGCTTGGGTTGAACCCCATTTAGCAAATTGCTGAAAAGATTAGCAACATTCCTAGGCGGATGAACTCCAAAAGATATAAAGACTGCATTCCACATGAATCTTGCCAAAATACAATCAAACAAAAGGTGTTGAATTGATTTGTTAGAATCACAAAAACAACACCTAACACTACCCTTCCACTTCCTTTTGACTAAATCATCCTTTGTTAAAATTACTCCAGTCTTTAATTACCACAATAATTTTTTAATTTTTAGTGGTATTCTGAGTTTCCAAATCATGTCCTTTTTAGGAATGGCTTCCCTATACATGATTGCTTTGTACATTAAGTTAACTGAGAAACGCCCATTGCCTCCCACAAAAATGTATCATTTTGCTCGGTCAATTTTATTGATATAACCTTTGAGACCACTTCCAACCAAGCTTTTAAATTATGTCCCACTATAGCCCTCCTATAGAGGTCTTTTACTCATGACCCTTGCCACTGATTCATTCTTGTTTATCACAAAGTTATACAAGGCTGGGTAACAAGCAGCAAAGAGAGTATTCCCGTTCCATTGATCCTCCTAGACTCTAACCTGAGTCCCACCGTGCACTTTAATGATCCGGAGATGTTTTTAACCATCATGAGTACCGACCAGAAATGATAATACCTTGATTTTTTTTCTCTACATGAGTCAAAATTTTCTTTGATAGGTACCTCCTTAGCAAGTTTTCCAATCTCCCTCTTCATTCCAAAGTTTATATAACCATTTGCTTAGCCATGGACAAAGTTAATACAAGGGATCTTTTAGATAGAAAACATTGTGTTCCAGCCCATGCAACTGTTTTATTGTTCTTGTTGCCTCCACAATGGTACGGAAACTCGAGAACATCTCTTCTTTTCATGTGATTTTAGTTCTCTTTGTTGGAGTCAGCTGGGGTGGAATTGGATCAGTACACATGAATTTAATCAAATGATTCAATCCTAGAGTGCTTCCTTTTCCTATTCTTGTTTCATAGAACTTCTGCTCTTGGCTGCCTGGAATATCTGGAAGGAGAGAAATAGCTTGATTCTTAATGGTTTGTAGCCTGATGTTCTCTCTTGGGAGAGAAGTTTAAAATTAGATTTGAGCCTACATTTACCTAGGCTCAAGGATTCTCATCGTCCATTGGTGCAATCATGGATTGAATATTTGTAATTTGTTATGTCTTGCTTTTGTTTTGTTATCGTTTTAATTTTCGTATATAAACCTTTTATTTAGGATGTGACTAGATAGTGCACAGTAGTGAATTAGTCCTAACCGGAGACCACTCCATCCTATATATAAATCTTTCTTTAGTGACTTATATCTTTTAAATCACATATTATTTTTACGATCTATTTACATCATTGTACTCTATTCAAAATATGTGACAAAACGAGATCCATGTCGAATATATTCAAACATTTTATTAATATAAAAGTAATTTATTTAAATTATAGAAGTAACTTAGATATGCACTAGAAGTAACTCTATATAACATTAGAGGCAATTACATTATTACTGAGTTGTAGTAAGAAACTGGGGAGTAAATTCACAAGCAAAGTGTAGAGAAGATTTTTATGTAAATACATTTATGAAAGTAAGTTTAATAAAGTTTGAAAGTAATCAAAAAAGTAACTTAGCACAAAATGGAACTGAGTTGCTACAACAATAGAAGTGAATCTGTTGTAGGGATAAAAACATGAGTCTATCAAGAAATTAAATTTAATCTGCACAAATTATGGAATTGACTAAAAACAATAATAAAAAGTAATCAACAAGCATTATGAATGTATAAGAAGTAATTTAATCAAATCTTAAAGTAATTTATATATATGATAAAAGTAACATACATATATAATAAAAGTAATTTGCAAACATAAATATTTTTTTATCATAATATAATCATGTAAGATCTTGTTATAAACATTTAATTACAACGAACACATTGGTATTGTCGGATTATAGATCAAATAAGTAATTAAGAGATAATTTTATTAGAAGGAAAAATGGCATGTATGATATAATAACAAACAAGACATGAACGTGTAGATGTGTAGTAGCACTTCTCTCTTTTTTCCCCTCATGCTATGCGCATATATGCCTACACGGGGTCGGATAGCTCTAAGGCGCGTCACAAACGAGTGGCTTCTCGATCTAGATTTACGTTTTATTTAATATATATACCGTGGAAGCCTTCTCTACTGTGCTTTCTTAAAAATTGCTTAGCATGCATTTGTTTATACAACCGTGTGCTTCGTGTCTGATTGCTACACATGGCAGTGAACACACTCATAATATACTAAACCGTTATTTCCACATATTGGCCTTTTAACAGACAAAATTGCATTGTTACAAACAAGTACTAATTATATTTTGTTATGCCTCTGAGCATAACGATCAGAGTGGCGCAGCGGAAGCGTGGTGGGCCCATAACCCACAGGTCCCAGGATCGAAACCTGGCTCTGATAATATATTTTTTATTTCCTTCTAAAAAATATTCATTTCTTTATGTGAATTGTTTTGGTTGACATTCTAATAATATTTAAATTCTCCCACAGCAAAATAAATATTTTTTTCTTTCCTTATAAAAAAAGATTATTCATATTTTTTTCAGTAAATTGTTTTGGTTGACATTCTAAAAAGATTCTGTATTCTCCCACAGCAAAAAAGGAAAAAAAAACACGATTCTGAATTCTGAACACAAAGTCACCAGGAAAAGAGAAGTTTTATATTATTGACCGTAGATGGACCAAAGTTGGATGTACGATGTAAAAGGGCATATAGCCTAGTGGTTATAAGAGTCTCAATAGCACTTTAGATCCTGAGTTCGACTCCCATGGGAGCGAATTTTTTAGGATTTAACAACATTGTGCTTTCAATGGTAGGCGACGTACCCATCGATAGCGAGGCGCCTGTGGAGACTTCGTCTTTCAATGGTAGGCGACGTATAGCGAGGCGCCTGTGGAGACTTCATCAATCTCCAGGAGGATTTGCCGGCCCAGTCTTCGAAGATATGTACTGTGTAATTCTCAAAAAAGAAGTTGGATGTCCGATATTCACCTTTTGATGGATGTCCGATATTCACCTTTTGATCCCAGAGTATAGGAGGGAGTCACTGAATTCATAAATTTTGCGGATAATGACAGAAAAATTAGGATGAGCAAATATATTATGTGTCGATGTGTGGACTGCACAAATAAGAAGATGTTCAATTAGAGTTCATGGGCGCATTCTCATCTAATCCGTAGAGGATTCATGTACCACTACAGATGTTGAAGTAAGCATGGAGAGCAAGACACTACTAAAAAACAATTTTTCCGTGCGGCAAGAAAGGGTTTTCGCGTGTGGTATGGCTAGCCGCATGCTCCAAAGGGTCCGGAAAAATCACTATTTTTGTGTGACGGTGCTTATGTCGCCAAAATAAAAAACCGAAAAAATAAAATAAAAAAAAAACCCGAAACCCTGCCCCTAGAACCTGTCGCCGCCGCCCTCCTCGTGGTCACCGTCGCTGGGTCCACCTGCTCTCATCGCCGTCGCCAGAGCCAGATC